GATTTGGAAGTCTCAGGGGCTCAAACTTAAACATTACAGCCTAAAGGGAGGTACTGACAAAGCAAAGCAAAAGAACCTAAAAGAGAACAGTAGTAATAAAAGTACTTGTATACTAGCAACGATCAGACTGGATAGGAATTCTGGAAGCAAAAAGAAAACACTAAAAAACAGATGGAGAAAGAGTACAGGCCGTGGTCCACATCACAACAGGGGTAAAGCTCTGATCTACATGTAGCTGAAAACACAAACACTGCTTGCTAATTATCCTTATGATAAGAAATTTAAAAATTTTTTCCTGACCAGTGATAGAGCCTGTATTTCTTCTTTAGGTATTTCTTCTCTTTCTTTGCCAGGTCTGTTAGCACCAGGCTTGTCTGTGGAAACCAAAATTCAAAATCAAGGATTCAACTCTCTACACACCCTCCTATCCCTACATTGTTTCACAAGACAAACAACGTACTCCTCTCACATTTTAGAAACTGGGCCAAGAGAGTACACTCTTGATCTGATCGACCGAAAGCCTTGTTTCTACTGAACTCTTCTGTAGAAACACAGACAACTTTACTACGAGCTGCACTTGACCTTTTCCACTGTTAGAGGGACACTTTGTGGATGTCCTATGTGAAGGTGATGTATAACTTCGAAAGTTACTTTTGCATGTTTCTCTAAAATTTTCATTGATAACATGAACGTCTTTGCAGTGTGTTACTAATCTGCACAACGCTAATATCTTGTTTCACAATGTTCTGAAGATGAAAAGAAGCTGGTTATTGAATACTAACCCTTAACCTGTAAATATCTTTCTCAAGCTCAATGTCATGTAACATGTCATAATGTTTCTCAAATTCCCTTGAGGAAGGTTCTCTTGATCCATCAGTAGCCAAGTGGTCGTGCTCAGAATGCTCCACACTGTCATTATCTAACAGTTCGTCAACTGACAAAAGAGAAAAAACTAATGAACAATGTACATGACAAGTGACAAGCAAGAGTGATGTAAACACAAAGTTGTTTACCACAACTTCTGTAACTACCCCCGAGCCCCTCCTTTCTTTTAAAAGGAAGATAAAATCGATCAAGACCTGTGTCAGAGACATCAGTTTCCAAAAGGAATGCTCTGTAAATTATAATAAGAACCCTGAATTTTGGTATTTTNCTGTCATTATCTAACAGTTCGTCAACTGACAAAAGAGAAAAAACTAATGAACAATGTACATGACAAGTGACAAGCAAGAGTGATGTAAACACAAAGTTGTTTACCACAACTTCTGTAACTGCACCATTTTGGTAACTGCATGATTACTTTAGTTACATATGACAAGATGCAGCTGTTATGGTTCCCCTGCTCTCAGGGGGTGGACTCCCATATAAAAAAGATGGAGGTCAGGTGCTTGTCAGACATTTTGAAAAGAACCCCTAAGAGGTACCAAATTCCTGATTTGTGGGCGTGGCCCGATGTGTTTTTCAACCCTAACTGAACTCAACGTTGTGACCGCTGGGGTCGCTAATGCGACCAAATTTTTTTCACTGATGCCTAACTTTTCACACTTCTCACTTGTGCTTGATTAAATCTGAAGACTAGGGGCCAGCTGGCACCAAGGTTTTTTCCTGAAAGTTGAGCCCTAATGTAGAGTTACCAATTCTAAAACAACACTATCTCCTGTCATATTTTTTTCGGTTCAATACCCCAAAAGGTACTGCAAAAGCTCCTGTTGTGGACCTACCCTAAGAGGTACTAAAATTACTTTTTTAACCCCAAAAAGGTGCAACAAGCACCCATCCTTTTTAAATAAGAATCCTACCCCTTAGCCCCTCCTTTCTTTTAAAAGGAAGATAAAATCGATCAAGACCTATGTCAGAGACATCAGTTTCCAAAAGGAATGCTCTGTAAATTATAATAAGAACCCTGAATTTTGGTATTTTTAAATTATTTGATTACTCTTTTTATGGTTATTGTATATATTATTTTAGCTTTATGACAACTGTATTGTAAATTTCTGTTTCTCTTCTTTAGACTTAGTAGTAGTAGGTCCACATCAGCTGTACAGTTGCTTATTTTAACCCTACTTATCAAATAAACGTATGAATGTATAGATAGATAGAAACTTTATTAAGAATGTCATCAACCACCTAACTGGGGAAAAACTCCCCTACTAATATGGGGAC